TTTTCTCTTGTTCTCGAGGAGTGCGCCAAGGGGATCCTCTCTCTCCGTTACTTATCTGTCTAGCTGAGGAGGCTCTATCAAGGGGTCTGAGTCATCTCCAACTTGATGGGCTTACTAAGCCAATTTTTGCCCTAAGAGGTTGCATCTCTCATTCTCATGTTCTCTATGTAGATGACTTATTCATTTTCTGTATAAGTGATGGTGCCACACTGTGTAATTTGCAAGGTTTTTTCAATATATATAGTAAGGCCTCTGGTCAATTTATCAATAAGGCAAAAGGTACTTTCTACTTGGGCTCTACTTCAAGGCACCGTAAAGTTGTGGTTGAGAGTTACTTGGGATTCAAAGAAGGCAAAGTACCATATGTCTATTTAGGAGTTCCAATCTTTTGTGGCAAGCCTAAGAGGTGTAATCTTCAAGCCTTGGCAGATAAAGCTAAAGCTAAGTTAATAGGTTGGAAGGGGAAACTTTTATCTATGGTAAGAAGAATTCAACTCATTCAATCAGTTTTTCAGAGTATGCTTCTGCATAGTTTTTCTGTTTATCGGTGACCTTCCTTGTTGAGGTCTCTTTCACGATGTGCTCGCAACTTTATATGGTCTGGTGATGTGACCTCCAAGAAGATTGCTATCGTTTCTTGGCATCAGATATGTGCTTCGAAGTAGGGATTGCAATTCTAACCGTTAAACCCGATAACAGTGGATAACCGCCCGAATGGAATGGATTTGAGTATGGAAGTTTAGGTATATTCTGGATATGGGGAAAAACCGTTTATATTGTTTGGTTATGATTTTGGATATAGTTATAGAGGTCCGCAAACCGCATCCATAACCAAATCCAACCCGATTAGTAAATAATATAATTTATATATAATATTATAGTATAATATATATATATATATATATATATATATTTGTATATCTATTATTCACCGAATCATTACCTTAAGAATACAAAATTTGAATTTTGTAGGAAAGTAAAGTTTTGAATCAAAATCAATGCGAACTCAATGGTGCTTATGGGAGATATCAAAGATAAGCCAACATCCTAGTGTTTTATTTTTATACTCAACAGGATCCATTCATTTGATCATTTCACTACTACAAAAGTCCTCATTAGTGTCGGTTTAAAAACCGACACGAAATGTATAACACTGTCGAAAATTAAGCAAAATCCGACAGAAAATGGGTGCAGTGATGGATATAATAAGCGACAGAATTGCCTGCGTCAGGAAATGAATTTTCCGACAGAAAATACTCTAAACCGACAGAAATTGTGTCGAATATAACCAACGGATAATATGTCAATAAACAATAAATTAGAGTATTCTGTGTCGGCTAAAACCAACAGAAAAGACTAAACCCACACAAGTTTAGTCGGTTACAACTAGGCCTGGCAATTACTGACACGACCCGATAACCCGACACGACACGACTCAAAATTAACAGGTGTTTGAGTCGACACGATAACGAATCGGGTATTATCGGGTAACCCGATAAGCACCTGTTAAGATAACGGGTTGGGTCGGGTATACACGTGGGTAACACGATACACGATAAGCAGAATATTAATTTAATAATTTTATAACCCTAAAAAATACTATAATAATTATATATAATAATTTAACAATTTTATACCCCTAAAAAGTTTAAAACTATAATTATATATATATATATATATATATTAAATTAACTATAATAATTATATATACTATAATAATTATACCCCCAAAATATTAACTATAATAACTATATATATATATATATATATATTAAATTTTAAATTAAATTTTATACCCCTAAAAAAACTATAATAATTATAAGTACAAAATAAATAGATTTAAATCTACATAATAAATATATATATATACACACACCATTGAACTTGATGGGATACACGAAACTAATTTCAACGATCAAACCGTCAAACTTGTTTGTATATGCTTCGAGATCGCATATGCCAAAAATCACAAAAAACAAACATTCAGAGATCAAGTAATGAGGCAAAACATTTTGACGGTGATAAAACAAAAAATCACGATTTAACGGTTATTTTAACTTCGATTTTGATGATTTTTTACAAGTACACTTTTTGACTCTATACGAATACAATGAATGAATTCGATCGTCAATTTAAAATATTTACACATGTGGATACCACAAAATCTTATGTTATACTTAATGAAAGTATAAATAAACTCTAAGTGTTAGTGAATCTATCGTTTTGATGGAATACGAATTCTATGAAACTAATTTCAACGATCCAACCATCAATCTTGTTTGTATATGCTTCGAGATCGCATACGCCAAAAATCACAAAAAACAAACATTCAGAGATCAAGTAATGAGACAAAACTTTTCGACGGTTATAAAACAAAAAATCACGATTTAACGGTTATTTTAACTTCGATTTTTGATAATTTTTTACAACTACACTTGTTGACCCTATACGAATACAATGAATGAATTCGATCATCAATTTAAAATATTTACACAAGTGGATACCACAAAATCTTATGTTATACTTAATGAAAGTATAAATAAACTCTAAGTGTTAGTGAATCTATCGTTTTGATGGGATACGAATTCTATGAAACTAATTTCAACAATCCAACCGTCAATCTTGTTTGTATATGCTTCGAGATCGCATATGCCAAAAATCACAAAAAAATAAACATTCAGAGATCAAGTAATGAGACAAAACTTTTCGACGGTTATAAAACAAAAAATCACGATTTAACGGTTATTTTAACTTCGATTTTGATGATTTTTTACAAGTACACTTGTTGACCCTATACGAATACAATGAATACATTCGATCGTCAATTTAAAATATTTACATAAGTGGATACCACAAAATCTTATGTTATACTTAATGAAAGTATAAATAAACTCTAAGTGTTAGTGAATCTATCGTTTTGATGGGATACAAATTCTATGAAACTAATTTCAACGATCCAACCGTCAAACTTGTTTGTATATGCTTCGAGATCGCATACGCAAAAAATCACAAAAAACAAACATTCAGAGATCAAGTAATGAGACAAAACGTTTCGACGGTTATAAAACAAAAAATCACGATTTAACGGTTATTTTAACTTCGATTTTGATGATTTTTTACAACTACACTTGTTGACCCTATACGAATACAATGAATGAATTCGATCGTCAATTTAAAATATTTACACAAGTGAATACCACAAAATCTTATGTTATACTTAATGAAAGTATAAATAAACTCTAAGTATCTATCGTTTGGATGAGATAGGAATTCTATGAAACTAATTTCAATGATCTAACCGTCAATCTTGTTTGTATATGTTTTGAGATCGCATATGCCAAAAATCACAAAAAACAAACATTCAGAGATCAAGTAATGAGACAAAAAATTTTAACGGTTTATAAAACAAAAAATCACGATTTAACGGTTATTTTAACTCCGATTTTGATAATTTTTTACAACTAAACTTGTTGACCCTATACGAATACAATGAATGAATTCGATCGTCAATTTAAAATATTTACACAAGTGGATACCACAAAATCTTATTTTATACTTAATGAAAGTATAAATAAACTCTAAGTGTTAGTGAATCTATCGTTTTGATGGGATACAAATTCTATGAAACTAATTTCAACGATCAAACCGTCAAACTTGTTTGTATATGCTTTGAGATCGCATACGCCAAAAATCACAAAAAACAAACATTCAGAGATCAAGTAATGAGACAAAACTTTGCGACGGTTATAAAACAAAAATCACGATTTAACGGTTATTTTAACTTCGATTTTGATAATTTTTTACAACTACACTTGTTGACCCTATACGAATACAATGAATGAATTCGATTGTCAATTTAAAATATTTACACAAGTGGATACCACAAAATCTTATGTTTTACTTAATGAAAGTATAAATAAACTGTAAGTGTTAGTGAATCTATCGTTTTGATGGGATACGAATTCTATGAAACTAATTTCAACGATCCAACCGTCAAACTTGTTTGTATATGCTTCGAGATCGCATACGCCAAAAATCACAAAAAACAAACATTCAGAGATCAAGTAATGAGACAAAACTTTTCGACGGTTATAAAACAAAAAATCACGATTTAACGGTTTTTTTAACTCCGATTTTGATGATTTTTTACAACCACACTTGTTGACCCTATACGAATACAATGAATGAATTCGATCGTCAATTTAAAATATTTACACAAGTGGATACCACAAAATCTTATGTTATACTTAATGAAAGTATAAATAAAGTCTAAGTATCTATGGTTTGGATGAGATACAAATTCTATGAAACTAATTTCAATGATCCAACCGTCAATCTTGTTTGTATAATTTGAATGGTTTTTAATGTTTGGTTTTTCTATACTTAGTTTATGCGGAATAGAGTTCTGACGTAGAAAACCTTACCGAAAACATCATCAACAGAACTCTTGAAGGCAATAGATCAAGCCAAAGTTCCAATACAATTTCCCCATGATGATCGATGAAAATTGAGGATTTTGTAAAAGAAATAACATTCAAACTTTGAGTTCTATTGACAAGGTTTAAACTTTTGAGAAAGGCTTCACAACCTTGAAAACAAAAACTCTTTCATTTTGCATATCCTTGCACATTTAATATTTTGTAATAGACTAGTGTATGGATGTTTTTTTATTAGGCTCTTATTTTCGAGTGTAGATGTAGTACTTAAATGACAAATATGTTTTAATGTTTTGAAGTAATATTTATGTGGTAATGTGTGGTATGTGCAAATTTAAGAAAAAAATATATTTTTCTTAACGGGTCATAATGGGTCATAACGGGTCGGGTCATTTTACCCGTTGGGTAAAGTGACCCGACCTGTTAAGGACCCGTTAAGATAACAGGTGTGACACGACACGACCCGTTAAGATAACAGGTGTTACACGAAAACGACACGAACACGACAGACACGACCCGTTTGCCAGGCCTAGTTACAACCGACAAAAATTATAATAATAAGGAATAAATAAAATCATTCTTGTCGGATAAAACCGACAGAAAATATATTAATAATAAAAAAAAATATACCGATGCGTCTCATAGTCGTCTTGGGCAGAGTAGCACCCTCATCAGCAAGGAAGGAAGTTTCAAGGGATAAATGGTAAGCTGCAAACACTGCATAGTTTCATCACAAATGCCTCTCCCCAGAATGCATAACGCCAGCTGAAACTGCATTCCACCTAAACATTGATCCAAAGCAGAATATCATTACAAGGAGACATCTACCCCAGTCAAAATCACCATGATATACAAGGATGCTACCAATAGACAAATAAGATAATCATAATGGATGAAAATTTTAATACGCCAAAACAAACTCACCACAGCACACATGCTTAGATCCTTGCAACAGAAGCCAAATTTCATTATGTTTTTCCTTCTTTTCTACTTCTTTTAGTCACGACAGCACCAGCACACCCACCACAGCACACATGCTTAGATCCAATCTTTAGACAACACACAATCCAATCCAATTCAAACCCAATTCACAAATCCAACAAAAATCAATCCAAGAAATTGAATCGAGACATGTGTTTATTACCTTCTGTGAGCTATGGCAAGGAAGAGCTTGATGAGCTCATCAGTGGACATGTCGAGAAGAGCAAACCGACGCCCTTGAAGTTGAACTTATTGAATGTTCTCTTCTTTGAGACTTCAGCCGCCGCTTGTTCTCAACGTCAGCCTGAAAAAGCCATAAAAGGTAGTGAGATTTTGGAGACAGAAACTAACAGCGAATGATTCGATTCAGAGACGGGAGAGTGGGTTGGGTATCAGAGATTTACCATGGTGGTGGAGATTCCGGAATCAGAGATGCATGATCTGCTCTATCCTTGCATGACTGAAAAAAAGAGGACCTGGGCTCTGCAATTCGCGCTAGCCTAGGAATTGTGGAAGTGATGAAGGCGGCTAGGGTTTGGTTCTCGTATTTATGCACTGAGAGTCGAAAAGGTGGAATTGGGCTCGGGTTTGCAGAGGAGAGAGCCAAATGGCGCTCTCTTTGAAGAGAGTCAAGTTTTGGGGCGCCATGTCAAAATTTTGGAAATGAAAAGCTGAATATAAAAGGCGCCATGTCAAAATTTTGGAAATGAAAAGCTGAAAATAAAAGGCGCCATGCCAAAATTTTGCCAGCCCTCCAAAACACACGGTCACTTAGATTAAATCCTATTGTTATTATTGTATTAAGTTTTTTTAATTAATGTAGAAGTGAAAAATATATAATATATATATATATGCTCGTAATGATAAGATCTACAACTTTTGTGAAGATGTCAAGTCCAAAATTTAACACTATAATCCCATAAACCGTAGATTAAAATTTAATTGTTGATAAGAATGAAATGAATGAATTCGATCTTCAATTTAAATTATTCACACTAGTGTATAAATCTTATTTTATACTTAATGGAAGTATAACATTAACTCTTAAGTGTTTATTTAATCTACCGTTTGATGTGATACATATTGTACGAAACTTTTTTCAATGATCTAACTGTCAAACTTGTTTGTACACACTCCGAGATCACTTACGTAAAAAATCACAAAAAACAAACGTTCAGATATTAGGTAACGGAACAAAAGTTTTCGACGGTTATAAACGAAAAATCACAATTTAACGGTTATTTTAGCTCCGGTTTTGATGATTTTTTTTACAGCTACACTCCTCGACCCTATAAGAATGCAATGAACGAATTTGATCTTCAATTTAAAATATTTACACTAGTTGATACCACAAAATCTTATTTTATACTTAATAGAAGTATAATATTAACTCTAAGTGTTGGTTTAATCTACCGTTTTGATGTGATACGCATTCTATGAAACGTTTTTCAACGATCCAACCGTTAAACTTGTTTGTACACATTCCAAGATCATATACGTAAAAAATCGTAAAAAACAAACATTCAGAGATTAGGTAACGGAACAAAAGTTTTTTATGGTTATAAACGAAAAATCACAATTTAACGGTTATTTTAGCTCCAATTTTGATGATTTTTTTGCAGCTACACTCTTCGATCCTATAAGAATGCAATGAATGAATTCGATCTTCAATTTAAAATATTTACACTAGTGGATAAATCATATTTTATATTTAATGGAAGTATAACATTAACTCTCAAGTGTTTGTTAAATCTATCAATTTGATAGGATATGCATTCTATGAAACTAGTTTCAACGATCCAACCGTCAAATATGTTTGTATATACTCCGAGATCTCATACCTAAAAAATCACAAAAAACAAACACTCAGAGATTAGGTAACAGTAGGCCTGGCAAACGGATCGTGTATGTCGTGTTCGTGTTGTTTTCGTGTAACACATGTTATCTTAACGGGTCGTGTCGTGTCACACCTGTTATCTTAACAGGTCCTTAACAGGTCGGGTCACTTTACCCTTATGACCCGTTAAGAAAAATATATTTTTTTCTTAAATTTGCACATACCACACATTGCCACTTAAATATTACTTCAAAACACTAAAACACATTTATCGTTTTTGTACTACATCTACACTTGAAAATAAGATCCTAATAAAAAAACAATCAAACACTACTAGTCTATTACAAAATATTAAATGTGCAAGGATATGCAAAATGAAAGAGTTTTTGTTTTCAAGGTTGTGAAGCCTTTCATTAAGTATAATATAAGATTTTGTGGTCTCCACTAGTGTAAATATTTTAAATTGAAGATTGAGTTCATTCATTGTATTCATATAGGGTCAAGGAGTGTACCTGTAAAAAAATATCAAAATCGGAGTTAAATTAACCGTTAAATCATGATTTTGCGTTGACAATCGTCGAAAAGTTTTGTCCTGTTACTTGATCTTTGAATATTTGCTTTTTGCAATTTTTGGCGTATGCGATCTCGAAACATATACAAACAAGTTTGACGGTTGGATCGTTGAAATTAGTTTCATAGAATGCGTATCTCATCAAAACGATAGATTCACTAACACATAGAGTTTTATTTATCCTTTCATTAAGTATAACATAAGATTTTGTGATATCCACTTGTGTAAATATTTTAAATTGAAGATTGAATTCATTCATTTCATTCATATAGGGTTAATGAGTGTAGCTGTAAAAAATCATCAAAATCAGAGTTAAAATAACCATTAAATCGTGATTTCTTGTTTATAACCGTTAAAATTTTTTGTCCCGTTACTTAATCTCTGAATGTTTGTTTTTTATGATTTTTGGCGTATGCGATCTCGAAGCATGTACAAACAATTTTGACGGTTGGATCGTTGAAATTAGTTTCGTATGATGCGTATCCCATCAAAATGATATATTCACTAACATTTAAGAGTTTATTTATACTTTCATTAAGCATAACATAAGTTTTTATGGTATCCATTTGTGTAAATGTTTTAAATTGAAGATCAAATTCAATCATTGTATTCATATAGGGTCAAGGAGTGTAGTTGTAAAAAATCAGCAAAATCTTTGTTTATAACCGTCGAAAAGTTTTGTCTCGTTACTTGATCTTTAAATGTTTGTTTTTTACGATTTTTGGCGTATGCGATCTCGAAGCATATACAAACAAGTTTGACGGTTTGATCATTGAAATTAGTTTTGTAGAATACGTACCTCATCAAAACAATATATTCACTAACACTTGAGAGTTTATTTATCCTTTTATTAAGTATAACATAAGATTTTGTGGTATCCACTTGTATAAATATTTTAAATTGAAGATCGAATTCCTTCATTATATTCATATATGGACAAGGAGTGTAGCTGTAAAAAATCATCAAAACCGGAGTTAAAATAACCGTTAGATCGTGATTTTTTGTTTATAACTGTCGAAAAGTTTTGTCCCGTTACTTGATCTCTGAATGTTTGTTTTTTGCGATTTTTGGCGTATACGATCTCGAAGCATATACAAACAATTTGGAAGTTCTCGCGTGAGTTCCCATAAACAAAATCGTAAAGGCGTGGTCGGGGCCCAAAGCGGATAATATCGTGTTACGGCGGAGTCGAACCCAGGCCGAGATGTGACATGTGGCGTGTGGACGTGTGGATTGGATCAGTTTGGTTGGCAAATTCAAGTGTGGACGTGTAGACGTGTGGCTTTTATCTTGTTTGAAAAGTCAGCCATCTAGAAGATAGGCTTTAGCCTATGCCACGAATCAGCCTTTCATTCTACGTGTGGATTTGATCAGTTTGGTTGATAGATTCAAGTGTGGACGTGTGGCTTTTATTTTGTTTGAAAAGTCAACCATATGGAAGATAGGTTTTAGCCTATACCACATATTAGTCTCTTGATCTACATGTGGATTGGATCAGTTTGGTTGATAGATTCAAGTGTGGCGTATGGATGTGTGGCTTTTATCTTGTTTGAAAAGTTAGCAATCTGGAAGATAGGCTTTAGCCTATGCCACAGATCAGCCTCTCATTCTACGTGTGGATTTGATCAATTTGGTTGACAGATTCAAGTGTGGATGCATGGCTTTTATTTTGTTTGAAAAGTCAGCCATCTGGAAGATAGAGTTTAGCCTGTGCCACATATAAGTCTCTCATTCTATGTGTGGATTGGATCAGTTTGGTTGACAGATTCAAATGTAGACGTGTGGCTTTGATCTTGTTTGAAAAGTCAACCATCTGGAAGATAAGATTTAGCATTCCACGTGGCAAGAATCAAAAGGCATATACCATTTGTATTCATGTGATAATCATCCCATCCTACTACATCATCTGATGTCGCGCCTTAATGCACATCCATATTCCATCGTATTCCATCATATTTTGGGGGTATAATTATTTGAGTATATGTAATTATTATAATTATTATAGTTAATTTAATATATATATATATATATATATATTATAGTTTTTAGGGGTATAAAATTGTTAAATTAATATATATTATTTTTATATTATTTTTTTAGGGTTATAAAATTATAAAATTAATATTCTGTTTATCGTGTTTCATGTTACCCACGTGTATACCCGAACCAACTCATTATCTTAACAGGTGCTTATCAGGTTACCCGACAACGATCCGATTTGTTATCGTGTCGACCCGAACACCTATTAATTTCGTGTCGTGTCGGGTTATCGGGTCGTGTCAGGAATTGCCAGGCCTAGGTAACAAAACAAAAGTTTTCGACGGTTATAAACGAAAAATCACAATTTAACGGTTATTTTACCTCCGATTTTGATGATTTTTTATAGCTACACTCCTCGACCCTATAAGAATGTATTGAACAAATTCGATCTTCAATTTAAAATATTTACACTAGTGGATAATTTTTTATACTTAATGGAAGTATAACATTAACTCTTTAGTGTTTGTTAAATCTATCAATTTGATAGGATATGCATTCTACGAAACTAGTTTCAACGATCCAACAGTCAAATATGTTTGTATATACTCCGAGATCGTATACCTAAAAAATCACAAAAAACAAACATTTAGAGATTGGGTAACAGAACAAAAGTTTTCGACGGTTATAAACGAAAAATTATAATTTAACGGTTATTTTAGCTCCGATTTTGATGATTTTTTACAACTTCACTCCTCGACCCTATAAGACTGCATTGAACAAATTTGATCTTCAATTTAAAATATTAACACTAGTGGATAATTTTTTATACTTAATGGAAGTATAACATTAACTCTTAAGTGTTTGTTAAATCTATCAATTTGATAGGATATGCATTCTACGAAACTAGTTTCAACGATCCAACCGTCAAATATGTTTGTATATACTCCAAGATCGCAGACCTAAAAAATCACAAAAAACAAACATTCAGAGACTAGGTAACAAAATAAAAGTTTTCGACAGTTATAAACGAAAAATCAAAATTTAACGATTATTTTAGCTCCGATTTTGATGATTTTTTTCAGCTACACTCCTCAACCCTATAAGAATGGATTGAACAAATTCGATCTTCAATTTAAAATATTTACACTAGTGGATAATTTTTTATATTTAATGGAAGTATAACATTAACTCTTAAGTGTT